ATTTTATCGGTGAATTGAATATATATATATATATATATATATATAAGATGAAGAAAATTGAGTAAGTAACTAACCTGTATATTTGAACAATCCATGAGCTTCTCAAGGTCCTCCAACCGTACAACCTCATGATACACATAGCGGCGTATTTGAAGGAGCCGATGGGACCTATGGGAGAGCACGCAGTGAGGACAAATGCTCGTGCAACAATCCAAACAGCAAATATTCTTCTCGTTTTTCTTGGCCGTGTCGTGGATCGAGCAAGGCGCAAAGAATCTCTGCACGTACAGAGCTTCCAACCACTCGGGCTTCTGAACTCGAAACGATATAAACAAAAATTCAGTTCAGTTCGATTCGATTCAGTTATCAGGCGCAATTCATATAATAAAAAAAAAAATGAAGAGGATGAAGATGGATAGATTATTGTAGACAAACAATACGCACCATCGGAACAGTTAATTAGTTAATTTCTGAAAATTATTTTCAGACAAAGGTAGAAGGTATTAATTCTTAGTGCAGCTAGCTACATAGAAGGGTTTAGGGTATGGTGGATGATGCTGTTTATTTATGGAGTGTGACAAAGAAAAGTAGGGTATTTTAATTTGTTTATGTATATATATTTGGGGTACGCATTGCACAATTTATTGCCAAATTTTTGGTCAGACCAAAAGTAGAGAGAGAGAAATGATTCAGTCCTGTTACGTTACGATACTATTTCGTTGGGTGTTTTAACTGTTAAATATACATATAGTTAGTACTAGTATAAGATAATGATACTATCTCGTTAGGTGTTTTAACTGTTAAATATACCTATAGTTAGTATAAGATAAATGATCCAACCGTAAAAGAATCATACATCCCCTAGAGAGAGAGAGAGAGCTTCATGGCTAATTCTATTATACAATTAAATAGCCGGTGATCCACTTGGAACTATATATAATATTCATTTCTACACACCAATCACGGGAATTTTATTTATTTATTTATTTATTTAGTTAAAATGAGATTAAGTAGCTTCAATATATATTCATGTAAAGTCATTTAAGATTTTTTGTTCAATAGAATGCTTTTAAAAAATGGGATATTTTGTTTTACCAAAATTGTGAGTTGACTATAACTTGTGAGAGGCTGACAAGTGACAATAAGTCAAGAAATTTTAAGAATTTTCTCAATTTTTTTAATTTTTTTGGTTTAATGCATAGTTTTTAAACCCTGCCCGGAAATCGATCCGGGCAGGTCTTCGGGTCATCGGTTCAACCGCTAGGTCACCAGATCAATTTGTGAACGGATAATTAATTTTAAAATTTTTTAAATTTTATATATAACATTTTTGACATATAAATATACATAAAAATAAAAACTTATCACCAAAATAGATAAAAATGAACAAAGCATGGTAAAGAGTAAAAGATCCATTCCTGTTTTAAATTTTCAGATCTGCTGTTGCATTGATATTTCTTGGTAATGCGGCTACATGGAGAAGACAACTATATACATAATGATCTGAGTGTGTGAGAAGACATGTGTCAACAATCTATCGGCTTTTAGATAAGATACAAAGCAAACCCTAATATCATGTAAGATTTGTCTCTTTGAGGGGAACAACTTGCATGGATGCTTTGTCATCTGCATGGTCCCATCTTCCAGCCACCTTGGATGTCTTTAACTGTGCTAAATGGTTTGAACATCTTACTTCTTTAATATGCCCCCTCAATTCAAGCAAAGGCTGAGAATCAACACTAAGTTTGGCTCGAAGCTTAGTGAAGAATTGGCCATTTAAAGATTTGGTCAGAATATCACTTACTTGATCAATAGTTGGCACATGTCACACTAATATAATACCCTTCATGATCTTTTCCCTTAAGAAATGCAAATCTCACTCAATGTGCTTAGTCCTGGAATGACCAATAGGATTAGCAGCTAAATAGACAACACCTAAGTTATCTACCCAAACCACACTTGGTCTGTTGTCTTTAATCCTCAATTCCTGCAACAATGACTTTATCCACATTATCTCACAAACTGCATGAGCCAAGCTTCTATATTATGCTTCTGTAGAGGATCTTGACACAGTAGTTTGTTTCTTGGAACTTTCTGTCATCCACATCAGATGCCCAGTCAGCATCAGCAAATCCAGTGATGTTAAGGTTTGCACATGGAGATAATCTGAAGCTAAAGTGTTTTGTTCCTGTCACTTACCTCAAAATTCTCTTTACAGCCTTCCAATGTGTGTCAAGAGGAGTTTGCATAAATTGGCTCACTTTATTGACAACAAAGTTTATGTTTGGTCTTGTCATGGTAAGGTATTGTAGTGCTCCAACAATACTCCTGTAAAGGTGAGCATTTTCAAGAGGATTACCAAGGTGTTTTGATAAGGCTGGTGTTGCAACCATAGAAGAATTCACTCCTTTTGCCCCCTGCATGCCAGCCCTTTTCAAAATATCATCAACATAAGCTCCTTGATTGAGATAGAAAGAACCAGACTTATAGATGACCTGTATTCCAAGAAAATAACTTAATCTGTCTAAATCTTTCAAATGAGAAGTAAGATTGCAGCTGAGTGATTAAAGTGTTGATTTCTTGTGTAGAACTGCCAGTGACAATGTCATCAACATAGACCATTATGAATAGGCTTGACTGAGAAGAGTGTTTATAGTAAAGGGAAGAATCATCCTTTGAAGCAGAGAAACCAAGGGAGATTAGTGTGGAGGCAAATTTCTTGGACCAGGCTCTTAAAGCCTGCTTAAGACCATACAATGATTTGATGAGTTTACAAACAAGATTATTGTTGCTGCTGAAATTGAATCCAGGTGGTGGAGTCATGTAGATTTCATTATCAATATCACCATATAGAAAAGCATTATTAAAATCAACTTGTTTGATGTCCCAACCATTAGTGATTGCCAAAGAAAGGAGAATTCTTATAGTAATTGGTTTAATGACTGAGCTGTAGGTTTCATTGTAATCCCAAACAGGTGATTGAGTATAGCCTTTTGCCACTAATCTTGCTTTGTGCCTTGAAACAGAGCTAGGGTTCTTTTTAACCTTAAAAACCCATTTGCAGTCAATTAAAGTTTTACCAGGTGCACTAGTAAAAAAACCACAAAAGAAGACGGGATTTTAGAACGGTTAACATACACCCGTTCTAGAAATTAGAACGGTGGCATTTTCGTAATAAAGTTGTTCAATAAATTAAGTATAGTGAACGGACAAATAATACCCGTCTTCTATACTGATTTTACAGATCAGGCTATAAGACACCCGTTTTAACTTGTTGATTAAATTTAAAAAAAAATATCAAAAGAACAACATATCTATTCTCGGCGAGTGAAAACCTCACGCTAAAACCTCACGCTAAACACATCTCTCCCACTGCATATCTATTCTCGGCGCCACCACAATACTGCGACCTGCGACCTCCAACCTCCAACCTCCGACTTCCGAATCAGCGACGACCCTTTATTTTCTACCCTGAATCAACGTGCCTTATTGATTTTCGCACTGAATCAGCGACGGCCGGCACAAATCGTCATTGCCCTAAAACGCACTCTCCACGAATTTTGAGAAATCCGGCGGGATAGGCTCGGGAGAGAGCACGAGAAGAAACATACTCGTCGTCTCTGACCGATTAGAGGAGGAAAAGTCTCTGTGTAATCACCAGCCCGGATTGGAGTTCGACTTGAAGAAACAGGTAATTCTTCGTCATCCAAATTTAATATGTTTTTTATTGTGAAGTCGAATTCTGAGCATACTGTCTCTTTTTATGGTTAATCAATTGTGTTTGTGTTTGTGTTTGTATTTTTACAAGTGTTCTACTTAAATGTGTTGGGGGCATAGTTATACTAATTTTTGGGCCATCTAGTTCAATTTTTTCTTTTGATTCAGGCCGTTATTCAGTAGACTGTTATACAAAGCAGCTTTTTGAGCACCTGAGTCGAATCTTATACTCAAATTTAGATGGAGCTTGAACACTCTTAGCTAGAGCTGAATTTGATTGATCTAGTATATTTTATAATTTCGTATATGTATAATTAATTAAATATTGCTAACTCTAAGTTAAGCTTGGCCATAAATTAAATATTTTTACTTTATTTCAAGCTTTTGTATACTGTAAGTAATCAGAACAAAGACATTGCTCAAATTGTTTGTAACCATAACTTGCACGATATTTGTAGTCCATTTAGTTTAGATGATTCAACGTCTTCTATGTTCTGTAGAAAAACAATGTAATTTTGTTTACACCTGTCGAGAATCTCTTAATATGGGATGAGTTGTATTGTTTGTTCTGTTTAGTCGCACCACTGTAATTTGCTTGATAAAAAAAAAAAAAAAAAAAAA